TCCGTGTTGTGCTAGTCCTCTATGCGGTGCCTGTCTTTGAGAGAGCAAAGAGCCTACGGTAAACTCAGCGCTTGGCACATTGGAAATCTTCTGTCTCCATAGCGCCTGCAATTCCCAACAGCTAAGTTTTGCAATGAAACTGCATGGCGGGTCAGCACAACACCCATTGAGCGCCGCTTCTTTTCAAGCCCGTTACTGCTTTATTTTACGGTGTACAGTCAGCTCTGGGACGCTTGCACTCAGGGCTTCTGTGGGCAAAGACGTTGTTTTGCTGCAGCTTTGCTTTAATCTGGCTTCATTGTGAGCACCTTCTATGTGGCTCGCAGTGGCCGGCTGTAATCTTGTAGCCACTAGCCTGTTCTTAAAAGGTGAGGGAGCTGGGGAGTGATTTCTTTAAGGAGGTATTTCTGTTGTATTAAACGTAAGATGGTTTTTTTCCTCTTTATGCTGTCTAAAGCTAAATAAACTTGACAGTTTCTTGGAGCCCAGTATTGGGAAGAACGTTTTTCCTTTGGTGTCACTAATTAGCCTCCCATGGAAGCTGATATAAGTAGAAAGGGAGCTAACGATAGAGGGTTATGCAGCAGGACTCTGAGCATATTGAACGTGGGGAAAAACTGCTTACTTCTCAGCTCCAAACTCTTTCTGTCAAACCGCTTGATTTTTGGCGTTCCCTGCACTTGGAAACAGGGGGTATAATTCCTGAGAATTGAATTGCAGTTCGGAGCCGTAGTCGCTCTCCTCAAATCTGTGTAAATAACATTGTCCATAGACCGTGTTGTCACCTTTGAAATGCTCTCTGCTCATGGACAGCAGCCTAGCTCTGTCTTTGCTTGTGGTGGAGTCAGGGTGGAGCTGGATTTTGGAGCTTATTTCTTTTTATTGCTTCTGATTTTGTTCAGGGCACTTTTTATCTTTTTAGTTCATTTTGATTCTGATGGTTTTTAAAGGCTCTTTTTTTTTTTTGGAGGTTAATAAAAAAGGAGGGAGTAAAAGGTACCGTATCTTGTTTCTTAATTGTTTGGTTTAAGTCTAAACCATCTGCAAATACACCCTTAAAATGATCTTAAAAGTAACAGTCGCTTAATTAAAACAAATAGGAACAGAATGAGCTTACCCTCTTTATGGACTTAACTTCAGGAAATTAGGCATCCACTCTGTCTGCTCTGGAATAATCAGTTTCTTATCTAATATATATGAAATGACCAAATACATCTACATCATTTGCATCTTTAACCCAGGAACAATTGATCAAAAAAAATGGAAGCACTGCTAGAGTGCTTTTATTTTAAAGCCTTTAAGTCACCATTTATTTCTATCTAGTTAAGCTTAATTTCCTTCTATTGTGGTGTTCAAATGAAAATATACAATGCCATGTCTAATTGTGTTAGTATTCACATTAATAACCTGTAACTTTACATAATAATGAGCAAGAAGCACCGAAAAGGCAGAAACAGATGCAATTATTTGTTGCGAGATAAGTTACTGTACGTGACCCAGGTGCTGTAGTACTATTTGCATGTGTTTCTCACCTTTGTTCACCCAGACACATGGGGATCTCAAGCTATTGCTGACTAATTGATAGTTGTAGTAACTGCTATAGGCTCCTTAGATTAGAAATGCATGCGGACGTGTGTCTTGATTCAAACATTAAGGAACACACACTCTCACTTACTTACATGGGCAGAAAGTCTTCATACTATTAGAGGTGTGTGATGGAGATAGCAGGACATAAAACAGAAGAGAGAGAGACACAGAGAGAGAGAGAGAGACAGAGACAGAGAGATGGCATGCAGCATATATACCCCTACAAATAGTTCTAAAATGCGTTTGCAAATGCAGAAGTCTTCAGAACCATCCAACAGTTCAGCACACCCTTTTTATCTCTTCTCTGCGGGACGTCTCCATCCAGATTACTCGAAAAAAAGCGGAAAAGGTGAGAGCTCTGCCATCTTAGCTCTGAATTCATCTGATTTCCTTCTTTCCTCTTTTTTTTATCCCCCCTCTCCCTTGTATTCCTCATGCCATTGTCCATTCTTATGATGGCAGCCGCCCTTGCTCTTGAATGCAAGTGTCACAGCGGGAGCAAAAAGGGTTCAGGGCTGCATTGTCAAAGCCATGGTTGCCTATTGTTTCTTAGCCTTTCACTGCTCTGCTTTTCCGAGCCTCTTTCCCTATCAGTGGCCCCTGTCAAGGGGAGGAGTAGGGAGAAAATTGCAAGAGTTAGTCGTCCTTTTTATTGCACACTGTTATGATAAACAGCCCAGCAATACATCCCACAAAATTAGGAATTATAACGACGGGACGGGGGGAAAAAATTCTTTGTAGGTTTGCGTTTGTCGCTGCCCTTATGTCAAAAGCTTGGTTTCTTAGGAAAGACTTTTGTATTGGTGTTTTTTGCCCAGCAAAAAATAGAGGCAGCTGCAAAGTGAACAGTGAGCTATTTAGCCACAAGGTAAAAATTTCCTGTTGCTATTTGGATACTGATGCTTTTCAATTTTAAGGCGGGGGGGTTGGGGTGGGGGGGTGTCGGGGGGAGGAAGCATGACTGAAAGCATTTCTCTAGCTGTCCATTCATTCATCCATCCATCTGTATTTTCTGTTTTAAAGCAATGGAAAATGATTTTTAAAAGGGCCAGAGACACTGTTTGCAACTTGGGTTTGTTCGAAAATCTCTCAGTGCAGACTGAGGTTTGTGTTTCAGATGATTGAATCTTGGACTGGGAAATGAAGGGGGGGATGACCGTCCTGCTCGTGCCAGGAAGTGCTGGTGTCAGGTCATCTAAAAGTAAAATCTTGTCACAATTTCTTCCTTTCATGGGGGGGAGAAATAGATATACAGGACATGACTTGATGCTTAGGTATGTGTTTGATTGTCTTGTGTGAACAGGCCAGCTTTTCCCGTGTTCAAAACTTTGGGGAGGTTACAAAGTCATGGCCTCAAAAGTTTTTTGTTTTACTGCATTTGATATTAAATTGTCTAGAGAAAGAACTGATTTCTAAGATATGGCTTCCAAGAAGAGTACAAACATAGTTACATATCCAAGGTGTAAATAATCGAGTAATTGCACTTCTAGGATTTTTTTGGTCTTAAAATATCTGTCAAATTTAAAGGGAAACAAATGTAATTTGGTTTATGCTTTTAGCTGCTTTTGTAAATAGGAGCATCTTTTCAACCCTTAAATTTATATTTACTTTAACTGTACAGTATATTTAGCAGGTTGGAATTTCATTTTAAAAACCTATTATTACATTATTTCCACTGAGTTATTGCATTATCAGAAATTATAAAAAGAAAACACTACAGACTGCTCAAATGTGTGCTTCTAGAGTCTGAATATCTAAGTCATTGCAAATGTCTAGTGCTATTTTCTCATCTCTAATAATAACAGGCAGAGTGCTTCCACAGATGTAAATATGGGTTAAGTCTCAAAGAAGCTAACAGTGAAATACTTCTTAAACTAACGAATAGTTAGGCTACTGTTCTGCTTATGTTTAAGAATATTTAGTTGTCTGAGCCTCCCAGCTTATAAGTGTTTGCTGTGAATTTACTTTGAAAGAAATGGGTAAAGATATTTCACCTGAATTCACTTTTAACTCTCAGAACACTGAAATAGAAGTGATTTGATGAACAAATTCTCTCAGTCCATCCTACAGGCAACTTGCTGTGCCTTTTATTATCCGTATTAGGCTTTTTTACACATATATGTTGTCTTGCATTGCCAAGTTCTAGGTCAAGTATGTGTCTGTTTGGAATATCTTTAAAATTGAAACTTTGAAGAAATGATGAAAGAACTCTGGCCTTGTTTTAAATCAAACTGAATGCAGCCGAGGCCACCCTGGGAGCACAATGTTTAATTTCCATTCGACATCTGCCTTATATTTGCCATTGCAGACCAGTGTCTGTGTGCAAGGAGCACTTATCGTTGATAAAAGTTTGGAATCTCTTTTGTCAGAGGTTGTCATTTCTGTGCTCTCAATCTGGACTGTCATTTTGTAAAATCTTTTGTCACTGAAGCTGAATGGAAAACCTGGAATGTGTAAGAGATTAAAGAAATGGGGAAGAGGATTCTAATGTGTAGAGCAGTTCTGGTCGCTTGACTCTCCGAGACAGATGGTGCCTAATCCTGATTTTCCTTACTCCAGTGTAAATATCGAGCTGCCCCACTGAAACCACTGCTGAATACTGATGCAGCATCAGAATCAGGCCTGGCTCATTTCTTTGCTTTTTGAGACTGTGGGCTTATCTTGCAGTGCTTTATGCATGCAAAGCTCTCATTTTACACTTCTGGTGAGAGATGCCCACTGAGTGACTTCGTGCTGATTGCAAACACACGGGTGTAAATCCTGAGTTTCAGTCATTGCTCCAGACTCACGCCTGTAGAAGTGATATCAGTCTGACCTCCCAGAATCTAGGGATAAATATTTGAATAACTTCATGTGCTTTCTTTAGGTAGGTCTGGGTTAGGGAAATACTATCCTCTCCAAAGAGCCGGGGTGGAATTTGGCATGTCTGGACATTCCACAGTGTCAGTGGGAATCCGATGGCTGAGATATTAGGTCTACCTGGGAGGAAAAAGTAGTTTACTCAGAGCAAAAGCAGACATGTTTGTCCCCACAGATGTATTCTGCTGTAGAAAGAGTGATTCAGGGGGACTGACTGGGGAGCTGTTACAGCCTTGGGACTGAGAGAGGAGTGTTTCAGGTAGCGAAGGGAAAACTTTGCTGTGTGTTTAATTGTTTTGAATGGATTTTATCTCCTTGCTTATGAACACAACTTGTGTTCATGTTGCTTTTAATGTTAGAAAATACAAAGGCTTTTCCCCTCCTGCGAGATCCATTCTGTGATCTGAGGTTGAAATGCTGTGTGTGTAGTGTCAGCTCAAGAGCCAGGCACCTATTTAACTTTTCCCTGTGGGATTTCAGTGAAGCTCAACCCTTCTATTCCTGCTCTACATAGGAATAAATTTCTCTCTATTTTTTTTTCTCCCCTCTTATAGGATTAACACGATGACTTCAGTGGGAATTGCTCTCAGAAAGAGAAAAATCATCTGGATTCTTCTGAAGGTAAGAGTCAAGGACAGAAGTCTTCATGAAAGACCTACCCATGACACAAGAAGAGGATCTCGCCTGCTGTTCTTCTTCAGAGACTCCATCCCACATTGAGGTTCAGGCAAGTATTGCTTTCTCCTGCTTGGAAGTTCACTGGTGAGTCCATAGAAGTGCTTGCTTCTTACATAAATAGTGTCAGTAAAGTTTTGTCATGAATCAGAGGGCAGGTTCTTGTAAACCAATGTGTTCTTTCACACCTTGCCACTGGTTTATGTGACTTTACAGGCTTATGAATCTGACAGGTTTATATAAAATGCAAGAAGAGCTATCCCTAGTGAATCAGGAAAAGATGAGCCATTGGATTATTAACATTTTATTAATTCCAAATCCATATCCTGTTATGACCTGAGGTGCACGTAGGTAGAGCATTGTCGCTATAAATCACTGATTAGGTAATCCACTGCATTTACTGGCCTTCTGAGTTTTACAAACCAACAGAACCAAGCCATTGCAATGATTTCTGTGTCCAGGTAGGCTTTGCATGTCATGGGCAGCATCTTCCCTGGGGATTGTCACTGTTTTCCATATGCTTGTTTATAGAATTAGGTATTATTGAATAGGGGTAAAGTGGTTTCAGCTTGACAGGTAGAAAACAGGATGGTCACAGCCCTGTTAAAAGTGAAGGCATCTGAAATAAGACACAGAAGAACACATTGTCTTCCACTGGGAAAAGCCTGTTTGGAGGGACTCATTTAGCCATAGGAAGCTGGGAGAGAAGTGTGGAGTGAAAGACTAGCCAGGCAATTACTCTGCTAATGGGTAAGATTATGTTGGTTTTCAGTAAATCAGTGCAAATGTGTGGTTAACTGTGTCTGTTGAAAAGATTCTGAATACAGAGAGTGTAAGGGGACAGACCCTTATCTGATGAAGCGTTCAACATCAGTTGGAGATGTGTTTCCACCGCAGGATGTGAGGCAGATTGAAGTTCTTGTGTAAAACCGGCAGGGACTCTGTCTTGCTTGGTCTGGTCTTCCCTGAGGTTAAGACAGTTTTGTGCTGGCAGATTTCATTCTTCCTGATTCAAAACATGTGACATAGTTTAGCAAAACCAGAACTCTGAATGCCATTGGGATGTTAGCACAACAGAAAACTTTCATGTGACAATATTGGCAAGAAAGAGCAAAGAATCTTTTAATAACTCTTCCTTTCTGTCTAACTCAGGGCAATTGCTATATTTTGATGTTGTGTCAGCAGTGCCTCATGTGCTGAAACATCAGCCTTAATTCAGATTTCGGAACATAATTTCAGCTTTGCAGGATATTACTTTGCCACAAAGTGATTTTGGTAGGACAATTATACGCGCTATAACTTCAGTTTTATTTAGAAGCTGAAAATCTACCCAACTGCTTTCTCCAATCTGTATGTGGAATTCCCACCTTTATTGATGTGAATACATTTTTCTATGGGAATACTGTGCACATGCCAAAAATTGTGGGCATTGTTTTGTTTCTTTACCTTGACTTTGACTGTGACGAAGAACTTAACCTGGGTATGAGTTAGAGCTTGAAAAAGGGCAATACACAGCTTGTGTTTCTGCCTGCCTTTTGTTCCTTTGGGTTTTCAACTTCTGTCTGTGGTTTGAGAAGAGACTGAAGTCTAATGGAAGGAACTTGTCGCCTTGTAGGTCCTGGTCTCCTTTTCCAGTTGCTGCAGAATGTGCAGTCATTTCTGTAGGGTTCAGGGGCCTGTTCAAGCTTTTATTGAAGCAAAAATCAAGCTCTGCACTGCTAATAGTCTTCCTGTCCTTCACAGGTTTTCATTGTCTTGTCCCGCTTCATCTTGTATTGGTGAAACAATAAGGGAATGAGATTAAGAGACTGTGTAATATGCTGTTGTAACAAGAGGGTATAATCAGCTGAGAGGACACTGTACGTGGGTGTGATTTGGTCTGAAGTGCCTAAAGAATGTGCCAATGTTAGGTTTAAATGCTGATCTGAGCAATAAACCAGTTGCAAGTCATGTTTGTCCTACAGAATGTACCTCAGACTGTTTCTGGTTACATCTCTCCCCGTAATACCTACTTTAATACCCACCTCTGGGTCCTATTCCTGCCTGTGCACAAAAAATCCTTCCAGTCTTTGCCAAGTCATCACCTTCTCAACATGCAAATCCCTCCTAAAGTTTCTTCAGTATTGACCACACGAAATGATTTATTCTTTGAACATATCAGCGAATTTGTCAAGGCTGTATATAGATGAGCTAGGCAGCAGGCACATATCTAAGCTGTGTGAGATTTTCACTGTAACCATGGTTCTTTCCCTCATTTATTTACCATCCTCATTTTGCTTGTTTTGTTGTGAAATAAGCTGCTAAACTGCTTGAGTTAGGACATCATGTCAAGTGATTTCATTTATTCTTGTTATACATTCTGAATTCTGTATAAATAATAGGCGAGTGGCAAAACAGCCCTAAATATTAATTCAGGTACAAGCTGCAGCTCAGAAAACCGCCTGGTTGGCATTAAGATTCAGCAACACACAGTGGGCGATGGAAATCAAACAGTGGTGATGATTACTAGTGTAAGATTATGTCTTGCTGAAAGCAACAGTGTGGTTGAGAGACAGGACTAAGCCCTGAGTAACTTGGTTTGATCTCAGAGCTGACATGTTGAATAGGAAGTCCCTTCCAGCCTGAATTATCCTATGATTTGGTGAATGTAGGTGACCCGATGCTCAAAAATCATGAACGTCCAAACCCATGAACTCAGGACAGTGGAAGGAGCAGATTTCTGACACAGAGCCTGTTAAAGAAGCAGATAGGTTTCACGTGTGAGCACTGAATTAGTGTATAGTGTCAGTCTAGTGTACTGAAGAAGCAGCCTCATCTTTTTGGTATGAGTGAGTGATCCAGGCTAATACCCACAACTGTAGCTGCACCTGCTGAGGTGAGGCTGAACTGTTGTGGAGGTCAACTGTTCATTAGGCTCCAGGTTGATGGATGCAGTAGATGGACAAGCAGCTGATGCTATTGTGGGTTCTGTTGTGGGAGGTTGAGGTCAAGCCAAAATCCAGTGAGATAAGCTGTAGATTCATTGTTCCTCCAGGAAGAAGCTTGCCCAATCTTTCCCTTGCATGATCTATATTAGCCAGACTTCTGGAAATAGGCCTAGATCATGGAACATTTCTTCACTGTAATAGTTTTGCAGGTTTTAGCAGTGGATTTGGTATAAGCCCATGATAAAAACTAAGACCTGAATTTAAAGCAGAAACTGATCAGGAGTTTTTCAGGAGTACCTTTTTCTTTCAGAAACTAATAGGTTAGTGAATTAATTCCTGGGAGAGATTTTACTATCTGCTTGCAAGGAAAGGAGGAAGAGTTCAGTTTTGATTAAGTTTGTAAAAAGCTGGGGAAAGCACACATAGTTACATGTCATTTACAAAAGATGGTTACATAGCTTTGTATATGTTCCAGGATGGACTTAACTATTGTAGGGAAAGTGGGCAAGATGCTGTAAAAGGAAGAATTAAATGGGGAGAGAGACAACTGAAGAAATGCCAGCATGAGTTTAAAGGCAGTAATTAATCCAGTTTACTTCAGCAGTTAATAAAATCATGTTGTGAGTGCTCAGCAATTATGTACAGTGATGTAGCGCACATATTCCTCTTGTTTGAGTGCTGATAAATGGGGATTCCTTAATGTTTGTGTTCCATATATTGAGCTGATAGTTTCAGTCTTTAAAGCAGTATTTGGTTTCTGAGGACACACATCCCTGTTTTGGAAGCTTCTGTCCAGAAGAGAAAACTAAACCTTGGTAAATGATCTTTTGGGCCATCTGCTTCTTACTTGTTTAGAAAGCTGCGTTCAGAATGAGTAGATCAGACAAGGGGCTCAGTGACAAACCTTCATTGTTCTGAGGTTTAAAATAAACTTGTTGTGGCTAAAGATGACAGCGTTAGTTTCCCAGAATGCATGTTGTCATTTCAGTGCAGTATGCTTTATCAGCCAAGCTGTGATTAATTGCAGCAGGGCTGCTCACGATTTGAAACAGACATCAAATGCTAATCTTTCCCTTAACGTACAGATCATATGGGGGCTGGCTAGGCACATAATTAGTCCATAATCCTACAGATACTTCTGCACACGTGTGACTGTGCTCATGTGAAGTCACTGAAACTCCATGTGAGCCAAGCTCTGCAAACACGTGTTTGTGTAACCCACTGGTATGCGTCTGATGTGTGTCCTGGTTTACTGGCAGCTTAATAAGTGCTGCTGACCTGTGCCTTGCCCTTTCACGCACTTAAGCAGGCACACAGAAATAGGAGTTTGTCTGGCCTGTTGATCAGCCAGCCCTCCCCAGGGACCACATTTTCTGCCTCGTGAACTGGATCTGGCCCCTGAACTCACCAGCTGGCTATTCCACTCTGTGGGTATCTGTAACAGAGAGAGAGCTAACTGCAGACAGGTTAGTTCGGATGTGTAGAGTAGGACCAGCCTGGCTAACACAGGGGCTAATTGTGCCAGCTTAATGTGGCATTGTACTTTTTAGGTCCTGAGCTGATCTCTCTCCCTGGAGCAGTGCTGAGGTATGTAGGCATAGTTATCTCAGTTATCTCAGATACGTGACGCAGAGTTGCTAATGGAGACTTACTCGAAGTCTCCTAACTCTAGGTCAAGTTATAATTCCTTGCGTGTTCTTGCCAACACTGTTGCCATCATAATTAGTGGAAGCTCAACAGAGCTTCCCGTGCCAATCTCTACTGATCAGAGAAGGCTATATAAATCTGTTGGTCAGTATGCATTTTGCATCCCTTGAGTGCCAATATCCCAGAGGAACTGAGTCTGTCTTGGCTCTTGGACTTTGGTTCCACAGCTCAGACTGTAAAGGATTACTGCTTTAACTCTGGAGGTCCTCGGTGCAGTCCCAAGTTAGCTGGACTAGGTAACTTGCAAGCTAAAAAGCCTGAGGCTGCACATTTGTAGATAAAAAGCTTATGAACTATTAATGTAATTTTGTTTCTGTGACATTATAGGCTGACTATAAGAGAAGAGGTGACTTTACATGTCTTCATGAACTAATCCTCCATAAAGATGGGCATTGATTATGATGTTAACTGG